AACGCAACACGTGCAGGTGGTACACATTCCTTGCGGACTCAATTCAAACTAAATATATTTTTGTTCTGGTTTAAAAAAAAAATTCAGCGAGATACCGAGAACCAGTGGAGTCAGCCAAAAATCACTTAACAATATTATTTACATTTTTTTTTGGTATGACAGTGGGACGAAGGTGATTAAGTTACAAGAACAAATAATTGCAATACATATGTATTATAAAAAAATAAAATTAAAACAAAATTTTGCATACACAGAGTGGTCGAAAATATTGCAGCCGTGCCACATTTTGACAAGTTTTAACGTATTTTTTGTTATTTAATTTTGGATATTTTTTTTTTGTAAAAATATAGTTCATTCTTTGAGAAAACCCGTGTAAATCCGAATTTCAAGCTTTGTGCAATATTAAAAATAAAAAAATAAAAATCAACACACAATTTATTTTTATGTGGAAGAAAACGGTAGCATCTTCGAAAAAAAATCCAAAAAATCAACGGCAAATTTCAGCAATTTTAAATTTGCAATTTATTTCTTCGAAAGTTTATTGATTTGTTTTTTTTTTTTTTTTTTTTTTTTATTGCACAAACTTTGAAACTTGGATTTACACGAGTTTTGTTAAAGAATAAACTATATTTTATAAAAAAAATAACCAAAATTAAATAACAAATAAAAAATATGTTAAAGCTTGTCAAAATGTGGTGCGGCTATAATTTGTTCGACCACTGTATGTATTAAACATAAAAGTAATCAAAACGAATGTTTGAAAAAATAAACAAACAAAGGATAACAAAAAATTTGTTGATGTTTTAAATTTTTTTGTTGTTTTTCTTTTTAATAAAATGTTTGTTTTGTTTATATTACAATAAAAAAAAATTTATTCATAAATTGAGTTTTGTGTTTGCTTGTTTTGCTGTTCTTTTTGGTGTTGTTATAACTCAATACTATCCGTGCAATTTTATTTTAAAGTTGTTTGTTTTTCTAATTGCTTTATGTTAATCAATCTTTTTTTTTGTTTTTTATACGAGCAGATTCTTGTTTGCAATGTTGATGTTGTAAATTTAGAGAAGGCGATTTATATGTTTTGTTTTTTGGTTTGTAACAATTATGATTACTTTTTAAAAAATATATATTTGTAAATAATGAAGTATATTCGTAATTCTGATGTTGTTTGAATTAAAAAAACTTTAAATAAAATTTATAATTAGGGCGGGAGTCACACATAGGTCGGGAACGAACTTAGGCATCAACTTCAACTTCCTCCTTTACCTTAGCATCGCCGGGTTTGCCCTTGGACCAGTCGGGTTTTTTCTGCGGAAAGAAGAAAAATGATGTTTTTTATTTATAAATAATTGAAAGTTGACACAAAGTAACACGCAGACAAAAATGTAGGTATGTATGTAAATATATGCAGTACATACAGAAACTAAAAAAAAAAAACTTGAATACATACATACACAAATAACTAACAAATAGAGTGCTACTACATTCTACATAGTACATAGTTGTCTTTGGGGAAGTGCAAGAGAGGCTACCTACAACTTCGCATACTTACAGCCAGATTCTGAAAAATTATTGTGGGCGTTCACACTTGCTTGGTGTTCAGGTCATCTGATTAAAAATTGTTATTCTCTAGTATATTTTATTGTTGTAACCCCACGTCTCCACCTTCTACAAATTCTGTTAAAAAGGACTGAGGTAAGACAGAAATGTTAGGTGAAGATCGCAAATTTCCACTATTAAACCATATCTGTCTTGCCGAATTTTTTACCATCGCTGTCTTAACATCAGCTGTCATTTCGTAGTTAGACAACTCAGTTTTCATTTTGCCGCCATTTTGAAAGTGATATGTTAAGAAAGCAAGTTGCCCACATGAGAAAACGGGACAAAGTTAAAACAGAAATCTGACAGATGTTGGGACACATTTAGTAGAAAATGGAGACGTGGGGTAAAGTTATTAAAAAATATAACCACAAAACCAAATAACCTGGTAACCAGGCAGGTGTGAACACCCACACTGAGATTTACATTTCAAGTAAAAAAAATTTAGATTGTATAGGGAAAATTTTCGCTAAATTAACTACATATTTCCAATAATCGAACATTGCGTCGAGGAAACTAGAATCGGGCTGCCAGTTTAAACAAATATTTTGTAGGTTTTTACATTCTTATTTGTGTTTGCGTGGATGTTCTATGCTTCTAAGGGCTGTATTAAACACTTAATGGTAACTCTAAGCCTACTTTTGGGCGAATTTGCGTCTACACAGATTTGGTATTGCATGCCGTACACGTGGAAATCTTATAAATATTGACGAATGCATACAAATATGATATAATGATTATCAGGCGTGCTCCCATTTTCGGAATCTTCAAAAATATTTTGTTTTTGTTTTTCTAATGTAGTATTTGTAAATAGCAAAATTTTGCAATCAGCTGCTGTAGAAACCGTGTAACGAAAATGGATTTTTTTTTTCTTTTAAATTGTAAAATGCAAAAGTTAGTAAAAATAGGAGCCCGGCTGAGTATTCCATTTCATTCATGTTTAAGTGCTCAAATGTGTCAATGAAAGTGCATTTTTTTGCAACATAAAATTTCACATTACATTTGCTCCCAATATTCTTCCAATAACACACAAATAATTAGCAGTCAACATGCTACGAGTGTGTGTGTATGCTTTTTTGTTTTTTTTTTTTTGGACAATTTACACAAATTTCTTACACTTTTTGACTGTTGATTTTAATTGAGCATCTTTTATCTTTTTCTATATATGTATGTAGCATCGTCGTAGAGATGTGATTTTAGGCGTTAGAAAAGAAAGCATTAGTTTTTTTATAATACTAAGTAATTTATAGTGTTTTATATACAGTTTATTGCATACATAAATGATAAAGATTTTAAAACTAGCTTTTTATATACTGCTACAACGACAACTACGTAAAAACTAACTTCACTAAAAATTAATTCACAGTTAAGGAGAGCAAAATTTCTTCAAAAAGCGTTTGTGATACTAAAAAACTCACTTGAAAAAATTTTCAACTAATTTTAAAGCTAAATATAATGAATATCAAGAGGAAAGTTGAGTAAGAGGTGGTTGTTGGTTTGCGTAATTCACTTTCATAAAAACATCTGATAAATAGAGGTTTTGGTTTAAAGCCTTCATGGGCATAATTTTGTACATAAACAAAAATCAATATACTCGCGAAAATAGTGACCAAATATAGTAAAACTAAGTTTTTAGTTTTTCTCTCTGAAATTTTAAAACTTTATCTTTGAATATCTTCCAATAGTTATTTCTGAAAAATATATCGTCGATGTTTTTGCAAATGCGTCTAAATCGCAGTCGTGGCAAAAATTAGATTTGGTAACTCTGTGAACTCCAGGCATCGAGATTTATGCATAAAAATCGCAAAACGCTTTTAAAACAACAAATTTGTAAAATAATAGCTAGAGAAAATACCGTCTATCAAGGCAATGCCTTCAAAGAATAAACCGGTTTTTCGCTCTCCTGTAAAATTTGATCAACGATATGTTAAAGACTAATGTGAACACTGCCACATCCACGAATTTCGTATTTCCAAATTTATTAGTTTAGCATAAAGTATTGATAAAATGGCATTTTCAATATTTATTAGTCCTTGTGAACCAACTAATTTTTTTTAAATCTATAGAATTCCTTTCATTTCGAACCCTAATTGTTGTTCTACATTGCACTGAATTTTTTAAATAATTTTCTGAGTAAATCATAATATTTAAATTTCTCAAACCTTTAAAAAAAACCTTATGCTAGAGGGAAAAACTTTTTTGAGATTAAACAACATTTTATTAACTTAAGTATGGAGTGTTACTTTATATACACAAATAATAGACTCGCCTTATTTTTGCTATAATTCTTCGGTTTATATAATGCTCAATATTATAACACCAACACCATTTCAAACTTTGTACAAAAATAATAAAAATTCAACAAAATTTCATCGAAATCTCAAACTTTTTCTTCAGAATTTTTAGAAAATTTGGTATGCAGATTTATAGCCCATTTAAGTTTAGTATAATAAAGTGCAAGTTTCAAGTGGCTACAAAATACCGTTGTTTTTCGATAATTTTTCCATACAAAGTATGTTCGAACATTTGTTTATATGGGAAGCGAGAGCATTGTAAACAAATTGCCAAAAATCAACGATATTTTAAATAAAAACTTGGAAATTTCCGAATTTCAATTACTTTATGAAGAGTACAAGTAACTTGCGGCCTCGTGCGGGTAAAAGTAGTAGCGAAACAAGTCTACGTTCCTCTCGTTAATCTTCCATAGACCGAATGCTACACAGTGGCCAGTTCCTATATTAGCTGAGGCAAAAAGTAGTAATAGCAATATTTTTGTCTAAGAATAAAGAATATAACAAGTAAACTTTGAGCACATACCCGACTTCAATTCTCATATAAAAATTTAGAAGTACCGTTAATTTCTTCATCATTCAGTGATCAGATCTAAACCAAATTAGTATGAGACCACACTTCCCGATAAAAAAAGAATATCGGAACTTGTTGACGAGGTTCAAAGTTATGGGGTAACATAAAAAAATATTCTGATGAATTGATAACCTCTCCGTTTTTTGAAGTCGGTTTAAAATGATTCCACGTCCACTATATTATGCGATTTTTTATGAAATTTGGTTTTTGTATGGCCTTTTTTTATAATTGAAACTAAGATAAAAACCTAATTTCATTAAAATCTGATGCAATTTTCTAATCAATGCCATTTTTCAGATTTCTTCCATATTTTTTTTTGCCATATTTTTCATGGGGATCTTCCACTGTGCGTCCTAGCCTAGTGGCTAGAGGTGCGAACTTTCATTCGGTAGAAAAAAGGTACGACTCCTGGCCAGGCAATGGCAAACGTGCGAGTGTAATTCTGCCATGAAAAAGTTTCTCATAAAAAACCAATTGCAGTTCGGAGTCGGCGTATAACTGTAGATATCTCCAATTGTGTCACACCATCAAGATGTATGTATATCACAGACTGCAGGAGAAAAATTATTAGAGAAGAATGGCTCTGTTCTGCATCAGTGATAAATTCTTGTCACAGTCTTTTTACGAAAAAATATATGTATGAAAAAGTTTAAATTTGTCAGTAAAAAAAGATTTGTCACCGATACAGAAATTGGGCTATAAGTATTTTAAAATTCGAAATACAGTGATTCAAACAAATGACGTGTTAATTTTTTTATAAAATGTTTTTCGAGCTGATTTTTTTTGTTATTTTTATATAAAAATGCCGTTCAAGCTTTAACTAAAAACAATCTTAATACAAATTTTACTAAAATTCAAGAAATTTTCATGAAAATTTCAACTTTCTAATCTGAATCTTCAGAACATTTTTGGGTCGCGTTGATTTTTGAGATTTTTTTTTATATAACAAGTGCAATTTACAAAAACTGGCCTTGATTTTTTGAATTTTTGTTGCTAACGGTCTCCCGCATTTCATTTCATAAGAAATTCATGCCTATATGAAAAAAGTGCAAAAATCCGTCACAAAAAACAGAAATCTCAAAAATCAACGGCATTTTTTTTAGCTGTTTGAGACTTGCACTTTATCTGACTAAAACTGTATGGGCTATAAAACTGTATACCCAAAAATTTTCTAAAGATTCAGATTAAAAAGTTGAAAGTTTGATGAAAATTACGAACATTAAAAAAAAATTGAAATTTATCATATTCTCGTTATATAAGCCTATAGATGGCTAGATCCTATTTTCCTCTTCATATGAATCTTGCAGCTACTTGGGCATTTACTTATGTAGGTACTATCATAACTAATAATTAATTAAAGTAATTAAATTTTATAACCTCAATATAAAGAAAAATCATAAAATTTTTTATAACTCACCTCCTTCTCTTCCTCTTCCAATGTGAATTCCTTCTTCTTAACAACCTTAAGTTGGTTACGGAAGTTAAATTCAGCGGCCTTCTTCTGGAGCTTGGCGAATTTGTTTTCGTATTTGGACACCTTCTTCAAGGCTGGTTTCACGCTAAAAATATGAAGGAAAAAATAAACAAAAATTAGTAAAAATCAAATTATTGCATACTACATTATATACATACATACATATATGCCAAAAAAGTCAACTAAGGACAAAGTTGAGTTACGAGTATTATATAGTTATATAAATGCTTGAATAAAAACTTTGTTCTTAGGACTTACTAAGTATAGATAATATAAATATATATTTTTTTAATATTTAATTTTTTGAAGTATACTTACAATTTGCCACGCAGATCGTTAACTTGGGCATTGAGATCGTTGATCTGTAGACCGGCGTGAGTTTCATAATATCATACAAGGCACAATTCAGTAACCAATGAATTTAAGGGCAGTGGGGAAGAATTAAAAAAAAATAAATAAATAAACGAAATCATTAATATTATTTCAATGTTTTTTTTTTTAATAAAAATCAAAGCACTTTGCTAAAAACTAAAAAGGTTATACCATATACCATATAAGTTGGGTTAGTTAATTTTTTCTTTTATTTTATTTTTTTTAAGAAAATATAATTAATTATAGACAAAACAATTATGCATACATACATTTAGCGACTCGAACAATGTGTTAGATTATGCAAATAAATATATATTTTTTTTATAAATAATAATACTTAGAATGCGCTTTTTGTAGCTTGAACAAGACCGCACGGTAGTTGGCAGCAGCAATTCCAGCTATACGAAGGAAGTTTTTTTCCAATGTTTTTTTTTTTAGTAAATAAATAATCCACATGAAGAGAAAGAAGATAGGGCACTTTGCTCATAAGCAAATTTATAGAGATTTTTATATTGCCTTTATTGGTTAGCGCGTTTAAGTATTTTTGTTTTTGGCTTGGAAAATTAGTTATTATGCTCATGAGATAGAAAAGTGTGAGCTTTTAGTCAAGAATCGTTATAGTTGATTCTTTATTGGGATCATAAGTAGTAAATAGTTACTTTAGAAATGTATAGATCGATATTTTTATTTGTTTTTTATTTTTTTTGTTTGTTTTAGAAAGCGTCTGAACAACATAACATCCAAATGTCGATTTTTTTTTTGGGTTTTTTATTCCAATTTCATATGCCCTCATCTCTGGCAGCTAGAAAAATTCGTTCCCCATGGCGAGTGGAGAAGTAGGTAATAATAATGCTCAAAAAGAACAGGTGATTTTTTATTTGATCTTGGTGGGCGAGCGATCTGCATTGTATTCTAAAGTGATACTTTGATTTGAATTCACTTAAAAAAATTGGATATGTTTGTATGTATGAATGAAATTTGAAAAATAACGATCGAAAATTGTATACACTTTCTTAAGAAGTTAGTTGCAGAAGATAGAGGGCATGCATAAGTGTACACAATTTTCATTTGTTGTTGTTTTTGCCTAACGACAATTAGTATGTTCGATAATTCGATAAATATTAAAAATTATCAGGAAAATTTGTTGCCTGCAAGAAACTCCGCTGATCAAAGTCGTATGCCTGCAATTTATGAAAATAATGAAATTAATGTTTATAATTTTTAAGTTTAAAATAACTTATTGGAACGCCAAATATTAGAGAAGAATGCAATGACTAATTTTCTTGCGTTTTCTTAAGGTCAATTTGTTTTTTTTTTACTCGTATATTCTTTTCTCTTTTATGCTTTTGTATGTAAACAAAATCTTGATCAGCTGTACCTAAAAATTGCAAATTTTGCCTTCGCGTTTTTTTTTTGTTGGATATTTTCCAATTATACATTTTTTTTAATCGAGATCTATTCGAACAGACTAAATGCCTCATTATGTAAAACGACGTGAGTTTGTATCATAGAATACGCTGAACAGACATAGCATACTTTTTGGCTCTTGCCGAAATGCGTGGTCTTTGGTCAGTGGTAGTACCTACTCAAATTCTACAGATCGCTTCACACCATTAAATTTTTAACTTCGTTGATTCTATAGCGCTTATAATTTCACATAACACTAATTTTTCGGTTTTAAATTATACGTATATATTTTTTTCGAATTACAAGTAATCAAACTGAGGTACTGCACAGTATGGCACATAATTTGTGTGTTTTTTTTTTTTTTTTTAATAGAAATACATGTGTTTTCTAACAACATAAAGTTTAAAATATTTGAAATATGTAATTGATTAAATAATGTCATAACATGAGTGTTTTGAAAAAAAAAAGAAATAATCATTATAATAAAAGTCGCATTAAAAATGTTTGTGTTTTTTATTTGTTGTAAATACTTTTTAGTGTGAATGGGGGCAAGAGTAAAAAAATGCGAGTTTACAAAAAATATAAAGTCATAATGATTTTTTTTTTAATTGGTTTACGCATACAATTAAAGCCAGGTGCACAATAAAATCAAAGGAAGTTGGCGAAGATTAATTTTAAAATTGTAGTAAGCAAATACAAAACGGAAATAAAAAAGTTATACAAATACAAATCAAAGGATAGAAACTTTGAGTTATAATGCCAAATTTCCACTTGGCATTGAAAAAAAAAAAAAAAATATCATGTAATTTAAAGGCACTATTTAGAAATGGATTCAGTGACTGTCTTTATTAACGTAATGACATCAGTATCTTTCAATGCCTACCCTTTTGCCACTATAATGTGGATAATTAAATGCCCAGTGGAAATCCGGTATAATGTGGTTAAAAATTCCGATTTCTAAAACGTGTACATTACTAAAAAAAAATGCCATTATTTTTATATTTTTACATTTTTTATACACGGTCTGATCTCTCGAAATTCATTAAAATATTTATTAGAGGGCGCTTCCACTTTAATTCCACACTTAAATTATATGAATGATCTTAATTTAATTAACAAATTCTGTCATGCTGCGTCTTATGATTCTTGTATGATCGTCCATCTTGCTTTTGATAGGTATTTTTTTTTAGTTTGAACTTCATTCGCGTACAGTTTGAGCTGACAGTTTTGTATAAGACCAAATTGAAAAGCGTTTCGAAGTTAAAGCAAACTTAAGAATAATTCTCAAATTGCGCAATTTGTAGCTGGTGGAAATACACTATTAGGATATTCGATTAATTAGAAAATCTTGAAAATTCGAAATTCTAAAATTATTCAATAAAAACTTTGAGAGTTTCACATGCATTTTCTTCGTTGCTTAAAAAAAATTGTTAACATTTTTTTGTTTAAAAAGTAATACGAAAATTTTATAAAATTTATTCGTTTTCCAGTGTAAAAATACTCACTCCAGAAAAAGGCACTATATAAATGTTGCATATTCTTCGCATTTAACTTTATTGTAACCAAGGCTTTATTTTCATTTTAAATATAGGGTATGTATGTGCGTGTTTCGCATGGACAGGAAGTTTAGGAGCACTTCTTACACGGCATGTGTGTATTTATGTATGAGTATGTGCCCTGCTGTCAGCAGAAAAGGAGTGGTCAGTTATAAGACGATAAGATAGAAGTTGGAAGATTAGTGCGGCAACACTGGGTGACTTCCAATTAGCGCAGCAACTCCGTCACACAAAAAAAGCTAGAACAAAAATGAAAGCACCCAATGCTTTCACACCAAGCGTATGTTTGCTGTATCTATGTTTTACAAAAATTACAATATTAAAAAGCTTTTAAAAAACTTTAAAAAATGAGTGAGAGAAAAATAGTAAAGAGTGAGTAGGTAAATATATTTGAGAGTAATGCAAATTAAGAAATTCACAAAAAAAAGAAACGTAAAAAAAATAAAATGACAGTTATGGATAACTTTGTCGAATGGATGGTTAGCGAAAAAAGATGGGTGGTAACACATTTATTTGAATTTTTAGTATTATCGCACATTTAGCTATGCAGCTTTGTGTATTGTAATGATTCGAATTTCGTTTCATTGAAATTTTTGTTACTCAGCTGGTAGCATTATTAAATATTTGTTATATAAAATTTATGAAATTTATGAGTGCACTTCTTGTCGATTCATCTGCACATGTTTGCGAGCTAACGGAGTCCACAATGTTTGCATACATACATAGATATGTATGTACTATAAGATGATTGATGTGGTAAATTGTGAAATTTACAATTTGCTAAATTTAATTTTTTTTATACATACATAAGTATCTGCTACGTTTTGCAATTAAATTTGTTTCTTTAGTTATAGTGCGTAGTGTAGGGTGTTGCTGATTTCGCGATTACACGATTACAAAATTAATGTGCCATACTGATGCTTTTCATACGCGAATTTTGAATTAATTTGGTCTGTAGTAGACATATTTTTCCATTATCGAATGTGAATAATTTTTAAAATTCTTTATTTACACCAAAATCGACTTTCTTTCAAATTGATGTTGTCTTCAGAACACTTTCGTTAAATTTTTTACTTGATTTGACATCAATGCGCGAAATGCACAGTGTTGCATTTGTAGTAATTCCCCTTAAATTTGGATGCGTATTCATCGATGTGGATCCTGTGTGGATTTCATTTACTAACTTGATCGCGTTTGCGTTTGAATACTATTTACAGATGCTGTTATTACTGTTGCTGCTTTTGCGCAATTTTGCAAATTTTATTTGTGAGGGAGGGGTTTTTGGGGTGCCTTAAGTAGCAGAGGTTTGGCTGGTATCGGGTAACATAAAAATAGTAGTTAGGGAGTGAGCGAGAAGCACAGAGATACATACAAAGAGAGAGAGAGAGAGACAGAGAGAGATAAGAAGAGCGCTTCTAGGCAAGGGATTAGTGTTTATTTGTGTCAAGAGCGTAGGACACTTGAGTTGTTAGGTGCCGGTGTGGTTAGGAAGAAACTTTTGGCAAAGAGTGTTCAAGCGTACTACATATGTATGTATGTGTACATAGCAGCGCTCCACGGAGTATTCTATTTAGTTTTTAACGAAAGAGTGTTTGGACTTGGAATACCCAATCGGACTAGGTTAGGCTTCCAAAATGTACTTATAGCACGGTTCTTTTTCCATTCAGAAGTAGTTCAATAACGGTTCTTTAAGAAGGCAATTTAGCATGAGGTGATTGCTGTTGGTCTGGAGCGCTTTATAGAGTTTTTTTTTATTCTCGTTCGCACTCATTTGCCGAAGTCGAAGCATTACAAAATGCTGATTTTAGCAGTGAAGTTTTCACAACCCGCAGCTTTAGAGCTTTGAGTTATGATGAAAAAGAATGCCATTACTTCCACGCAGATGTTTACTAATTTTTCATACAGAAATTAAATGCATTTACTTCAAATTTCTCATGAATAAATTAGTACCTAAAAAGGCAATATTTTCGGAACGGTCCGACTGGGTACTTATGTACATACATATATACAGTGTAGTGGGTGTGCGA